CCCAAACTGGACACTCTCCTTCCCCCGGCTGTGCCTTGAGATCCTGTCCATGAAAACCACAGAGAGAATCAGTGACAAGGAACAACCCTGACGGAGGCCAGCACCCACTGAAACATGTTTGACTTTGTGCTGAGTATGCTGACCCAGCTCCTAGTTTGGTTATACAAGGACGAGATGGCTCGTAGCAGCGACTGTGATACTCCGTATAATCCTTCAGTTCTCTCCTCAGGACCCTGTAATGGGCTAAAAGAAAGAAATGAGTATTAAGACAAAAGTAATCAACATTAAAATATGTCCACCTGTTCTCACTGTGAGCTGTTCTGGAAAACAGCTCCAGGTAACGATCTAAGTATATTTAGCCATTTGTTGATTGAAGGCTGTATGTGAAATTCAGACTGTATGAGTTGTCTGCACATGGCTCTCAACATGGCGGTGGCTGTCATCTGTGCGAATTAGTATTATCCTTAATAAACAGCACTAAACATGCCACAACAAACCACAGAGAAGCTCCGATTACTACGCACACAGAGGGAGCGTGGCTTCATTCTCCTCTCAGGACACCATCGCTCCGCTTTATCTTCACACTGTTTGATGCTAAATTAATGCTCTGAATGTCATATGACCTACAGAACCATGATAACATGGAATATTTGCCTGTGATGACATAAATCATTCAGTGTTTTTTTTAAAACTGATTATAACAAAAACTTTCTGAACGTTTTATTGGACGTCATTAGTAAAGCTTTTGTAAACTCCTCATGGCTGCACCTCAACCACTACTGTTAAACTCTTAAACTACTTAAAGTGCCCGAGTGTTAATGATTTACAAAATTAAAGTGTGTGAAAGGGCATGAATGGAAGAGCACTTACTGATACTGATAAATACTGTGTTTCACTGCACTGCAGCAGTGTTGAAGATATCTGTCAGAGAAGTTTTAGTTATTGCAATGCATAAATTAAAGGCACGCAGTTATAATATACACCTCACATATTAGATATGCTAATTGAGATCAGGTTCCCCACAATTTAAAATGAATGTGCACATTAGGGGAGCTTCAGTCTGCCAACTGCTTGTGCTGTTATTGAGCAACAAAACAACCATAATACAAGTGTGAGGGCAGTAATCTCTGTTGGTGCCTGATAATTACTTGATCCCTATGTGGCAGATGGAGGCGGGTGTGTGTGTGTGTGTGTGTGTGTGTTAAGTGTAATTCCCAACACTCAAACAAGCACATGCCTGACCCTAAAGTGCCTTTGATGGAAGTGCAGCAGCTGTTCTGTAGCCGACCTCAGAGCATCCTTGATATTATTTTATGGGATCTTTACTGAGGAGGAGGAGACGGTCCAGAACAAGACAAAGCTTTTAGGTGAATTGGGGCTGCAGCCTGCATGTAACGTGCTACCACAGAGACACGGAGTCTCGAGGGAGGAGAGGGAAGGTTTTCCATTTCACACATCGTGTAAGCAGAGAGAGCGACACACTCAAAGATATAAACATTTCTTTATTAGAGGTATTTGTTTCCTAAAATATTAAAACTGAAAATGTGTTTTTGAGTCATTAAAGGTTTAAATGAATGATCTGTTCAGTCACAGAGAAAACTGCTGGGAAACCTTTCTGCGATCAGTTAAGGAGAGTTTAAACTTTCACTGATGTATAAATCTTATTCTTTCGTTTTATTCTTGATATTGATATCTGTGATCTTTGGTGACACACACCTCATGCTTAAAGAGCAGCAGCATGTAGGTGCAAGAGGGTACCCAGTTCTAACCCAGGGTGGGGGGTTTGAACCCGTGTTCACATTACACGATTTTCACCCTGATTTTGCATCGTGGAGACTATCGTAATCTTTTGAGTGTTCATACCTGGCGACGTGTGTTTCTGTCAGCGGGAGTCTCGCCAACTGCGTTACGACCTGTGTGTGCACACCACAAGATTTCTCCACCGAGCCCTCGCTGAGCCCCAGATAACGCGGTGACGTCACCAAACTTGGAGACGACACATGGCAAAGGCATGGATATTCTTCCCAGTGTTGAATCAGATCTGCCTCCAGGGCCTGGGTCCAAACACAACGCGCTCCCCGTGATCCTGTGGACGCCGCCATTGTTGTTGTTGCTTGCCGGCTTGTCAGTGTTGCCAGATCTTGGGAGAGAAACAAGCAACCAGGGCTATGGAAACAAGCCCAAAGTCGCGGCTAATAAGCGGACCTGGCAAGTGGCAACGTGGGACGTATCCTGCCTCTCATTGGCTGATGCTCTTTGTCAGTCGTGTCACACTTCTCCAGTTTTCTAGCATGCCAGATATCCAGTCCCAGTCACAGACGAGGGGGTGACTTGCTCGTAGGCTTGTTCACACATGAGGACTCGTCATGGCAGACTATCTGCTGACTCACCTCCGACCCAAGGTGGCTCTCAAGATCCTCTGCGACGTCCAAATTGAGGAATGTGAACTAGGCTTAAATTGTCAGTAGGTGTGAATGTGAGTGTGAGTGGCTGTCCCCGTGACCAGTAACAGGGTAAGTGATTATGGAGAGTGAATGAATGAACCCCCAGAACCCCAAAACCTGCAAGTGTGTTTAAAGGCATGTTTTCTTTAAAGATCTCTTGAATCTCAGTGTTTATCATCGCCAGAAAGTGTGACATGTGGTTATTTATGATGGATAGAGGGTCAAGCGTTTTCCCCCAGTCACTCAGGGAGGCTCAATATTTGTAGCTCCAGTCATGATACTAGAAAAAAAGAAAAAAGAAATCACACTGCAGTCACTCCCCTGCTAAATGAAATTATTGTTATTAAAACATGGATGGACACTTTCTGCTTAAAGGTCATGACTGATTCATTAACAATAGTACAGCCAGAATATTCGTATTTAAAAAATTTTTTTACGGTCCGCAAATCATGTTTATGTTTTGAATTTGTGTTTTGGCCTGTTGCGCCACCCACCGCCGTCTACCAGTCACACAGTCAGTAGAGTCTCATTATCAGTTACAGTTACGACTGAGCTACAATGGCTGACGGTGCGACTAAACCCAATCGATCTTGTTATGATTCCCAAAAACGCCAAGACAAAACTCGAGGCAAAGCGAGGGTCTATATAGGAGATGCTTTTGAACGGTGGAGACAGTTGAAAGCGGAAGAATTTGAAATCGGATGTCAAAGTGGCTACTCTTCTCCTCGACAGGTAAGCTTTAGCCAAAGTTGGCTAACTAGCATCATAGCTAGACAGGGATGGACATTTCAAATACTTTCAACTGTTATTCATTTTCTTTTCTTTTTTTAAAGATATTTTTTGGGCATTTTTAAACCTTTAATTGATAGGACAGATGAGTGTGAAGCTGAGAGAGAGAGGGAGTGACATGCAGCAAAGGGCCACAGGCTGGAGTTGAACCTGGGCCGCTGCAGCAACAGCCTTGTACATGGGGCGCCTGCTCTACTACTAAGCCACTGACGCCCCAACTGTTATTCATTTTCGATCATACATTGTAGCCCATGTGCAGGTGGGTCATCGACCTGACTGATGTTTTGAGAAACAAACGTTAGCAGCACGGCAAGCAGCGTTAGCAGTGTCCCGGTACATAGCATTAGCAGCCGGCTCCTCCTCAGCTGTATCCCAGCAGCAGCATTAGCAGCAGAGAAGCCGGACTTGCTCGAACGGTCCGCTGAAAAACCGAAGATCAAGGACGCAGTGACGCGGCCCTGCCACGGCAGCCGCCCGTGGGCAAACAAATCAGTCTCCAGCGTGCCGCTGTCCAGCAACCTCGAATCTGTAGAGGAGGGGCAGACACGACTCACGGCAGTATTTTGAATTTGAGTGCAGTAAGCGTTTTGGCCACATTCTTACATACAGCGCCTTTAAAATAACCAGTAACAAATAATCATTTATGGTGGAGGGAGGGTCATGGATATTCCACCAATCATTCAGAGAGGCTCCAGGAAAAATATTTGTAGCTTCAGGGACAAGATAAAAAAATAAAACAAATAATAATAATAGCAATAATAGTAATAATGATGATTATTATAATAAACGTCACACCCCAGCCTCCCCTCCTCTTCTGATTTGTAAAGAACTAGTCTCGTTCACCAGACCTTTCTCAAGAAAAGAACGGTCTGGCTGGGCCGACTCTCACTTTGAGATTGGAGGAAAAAACGCCCCGGCTGCTTGTATTTCTTTCATCCACTCACAATCGTTCTGGGCGGTGCCACAGCAACGGTGCGCTTGCAAAAATATTGCCGGCGGGAAACAGGTTTTGGTGTAACACGCCCACAAAAATATCGCCTACAGGACGCGAACCATGGCAGAAAAATGGCTACATCCCCGCAAGATCAAACACCACAAAAGTTAGTAAAGGACGTGTTGAAAACGGCTGAAAACTGCTACACAACCGGAGGTGGTAAGGCGGGACTTCAGCGGGTGGCTTGTTCCGCCCAATGAGAGGCTGATCTCTGCAGCGAACTTCCGCCCACTCAGACTAGTAAAGAACAGTCCCTTAGCGGTCCAAAACAAAGAACAAAGTTTTCTATCTGGTTCCACAGCAGATCAGCTAAACATGCAAAACAGTTAAGTGAACTTTGAACCTGTTTATTGGTTAGATTTAATTCATTATCACATCGGCGCTTTGCATGAGCGACTACACATGCAAAACATGTGAAATCTGCTACAATCAAGTAAACAAATCAACATGATGAAGTTTCCAAAAATAAATTTACTTGGGTTTAAATTCATTGCGTTTTACTTTACTTATTATTAGTACAAATTTACAGGAAGGAAATGATTCTTGGGGAAACTGTGGACCTGTGAAATAAAACATCATCATCAGCTGTGGAGATGAAATCCGAGCAGGTGCGCGGTGTCTCATGGGACTTTATTTTGAAACGTCCCCTCAGTGGACTGTCTGTTGTGAGCTGGTTGGCCTGACAACGGAGGAGGAGGGAGGAGCTTGTCCACTTGGGAGACCAATGACAGCACAGGTAGCAACAGGTGAGCAGAGAACACACACCTCACACACACACACACACACACATACGGAAACACAGCGTGTAGGAAGAGGCGGCTGCGGAGCTGAGAGGCTCCTGGGACTGACTGCCTGCAGATCCTGTCTGACATGACGGGCAACTAGAGAAGCGAGGACCATTTCACCGCCTCGGAGGACAAACTACAGCACAGCCGCTTTGTTTGGATTATTACCGACATAATTACAGAAAACAGATTAAATATCCCTCTGATAAGGACTCAGAGAGTGTGTGTGGTGAGTTCGTGTGACTTTACAGCTTTAATACATTTACTGGAGGTGTGAAGAGTCGCAGCAGCCCTGCAGGTTCCTGTTTGTGCTGTATTTACATGGAGTTTTGACCTGGTGCTAGATTATTGATCTGCTGCCCTGTGGAGTCTTCCTCCTCCTCATCTTCCTCCTTCTGTGCAGTAATGTTTCTGAGATAGTTTTGTCTGATTAGTGTCATTCCACACCACAGCCCACAGGAGGATTGTTCCGCTGTAATACGCAGGTTAATCCCTGAGCTGCTGCTGACTGCACAGGCACCATGATCAACTCGGAGGGCCTGCGGCCGGCCACGTCCGGCAGGAAGCCCCTGGGCAAGCTCGCCTCCCGGCTGGAGGAGGTGAAGAACCCGTGGCGACAGGTCTCCACGCTGGAGCTGAGCCACAACGAGGCGGCCCGGCTGGCGACGGACGCGCTGCTGGAGCACGGGGAGAAGGAGTACCGCAGGGTCCTGAACGAGGAGCGGGAGCTCAACTTTCTGTCCCCGCTGGAGATCCGCTACATCACCCAGCATGCGGCCAAAACATGCGGCTCCGAGAGCAACGGCATCGGCCCCAACGACCGGGACTTCGGGGACGGAGACGCCGTGTCCGAGCTCACCTCCGGGACTTACTTCCCCATGATGTCCGACGAGGAGCCGCCGATGCTGGAGCTCGGCTGGCCGGACACCCCGTCCAGGTACGGACCGTCGGAGACGCAGATCTACTTCCAGAGGGACAAGTCTCATAATGTCAAAGACCTCATCAGGTCCCTCATCAACAAAGCCAAAAAGGTGAGAGGACCCAGTGTGTATTTATGATGTGTAGTTACAGTGTGTATCTGTGACCTCAGGGGGTCAGGACGTGAGAGTAACTTATTACAGTGTGCGTTGATTTAACAAAAAGAAACAGGAGGCTGATATTAAGGATAAGGAGAAAGAGTTGAAGGAGGACAGTACACCTGATATCAGACATCTGTATAACCTTACACTCAGACACTAATATATGCAAATGATGAGGGACTGTTCGTTACCTCTGAGGGGGGAGGGGTGGTGCAAAAAGGGGGAGGCATGTCAAATAATTTTAAGCGCTGGGGAGGGACCTGTGTTTTTATTTCAGCTTTTTAACCTACCTAAAAACCACTGACATTGCAGTCTGGTAATACTGACCCTATAAAGTTGTCATGTTTAATTCTACATATAGAATTTAATGTGACAACAATCGTGGGAGCGAGACACTAAATAAATTAATTCAGAAAGGTGCAAAAGACAATTTTAAAAAAAACCCTAATAAAAACAATACATAATTTAATTTAGTGTCTGCTGATTTTAAGTGTAAAGGTTAATGAGAGATAATAAATAGTTACCAAATGATTAGGGACTGTTTGTTATTTATGATGGGGGGAGGGGTGGTGCAAAAAGGGGGAGGCATGTCAAATAATTTTTAAAGCGCTGGGGAGGGACCTGTGTTTTTATTTCAGCTTTTTTTAAAAAGTATTTGGAAATAATGGACATCACTGATACTACAGTCTTGTAATACTGACCCTATATTATATATAGTTTAGTTTTTTTGTAATTTTTACAACTATTAAATTTATTTTATTTTGCGTCTAACCTACGATCGATGTCACATTTAATTCTATAGGCCTATTTGAGAATTTAATGTGGTGGTGGGCGAGACACAAAATAAAATAAATTAGAACGGTGCAATAGACAGTTAGAAAAAAAATGAAAATAATACTCATAAAAACAGTATGTAAGTTATGATTTACAAATTGAATTAAAGGATTACAAAAAACAAAAGTTAACAGAATTACAGGACTGCAGTATCAGTGGTGTCTCTTTCTTTAATGTGTTCACACCAAACTCACATTGCATTTCTCTTGCCAGTTTGAACATTAGGATATTTTGTGTTGACTCGCTTCATTCATGTCAATAACTCCGTCATACACGTGTGAAATCGCTGAATTGATGAATGAACCTCAGCCGGTGCATCCTCAGCGTCATACGTCCCTGGAAGATTGCGCTGAAGTACAAAGTTTTCAAGTCTCGCGAATAAGCGTATGACGCAAAAACGTGCTACTCACTTATTTAGCGCCGCTTAACTCACGTATCCATCTTGCCATCCGACAGGAATTCATGTCTGATCGTATCTTCACATTGACTTTACGTGTAATTCAAATTGTTTTATTTGCGCCTGGTATGAACACAGTATAAAAAAGGTTATCATATCGCATAACATTTCTGAGCACACTGTCTTGGAGAATAGTGAATTTTCTCCAGAGTCAGATGGTGTAGGAGGTCTTTAATCCGTCGCTTAAAGGTTGAAAGTTTTCCTTTCGTTGAAGCAGTATAAGGCGTAGAGCTAGAAGAGATAACGAGTAAGATGTTTCCATAGATTCTGCAGGTTTGTAAGGCATGTTTTCTTTAAAAATCACATAAATTATACCAGTTCTCTCAGCCAGACACTGTAAAAGTAGAAATTATCATTGGATTTTCAGATTTCCCACGGCCCTTGGACTCATCATGTGCGAGAACGCTTCGATCAGAAAAGAAAAACATTACCAAAGCAGAGTTTAAAATTATAATATTTTGTCAAAATCAATTTATTCTACGTTTCATTTAAATTTGGCCAAAACTAAACAAGTTGCAGGAAATTAACCAGCATGCATGACGACAGTGTAAAACCGAAGCCTTTTCAATACCAGGATTTTGTCTTCACCCCAGCCACCCTCCCAACAAGTAAAGAACAGTCCCTTCATGAATACACTTTGTGGAGCCTTTCTTGTTTAATCTTCTTAAAAGCCCATATTGGCCGAGCAGATTCATGTATATGAGTGATAAATAAACACTAATCAATCTGTTAATCAACAGCAGAATAAAAGTCAAGCACACAGAGTTCTGTACTGAACACATTTTTGCAGTTGCAGACGCTCCTCAGCTAAAAGACTTTATACTGTAGTCTAAGCTGACAGAATCATTCACTAGATGTTGGATAAGAATGGCCTCAACAATAGTAGAGTGGTTAAATGTTTTGTCATCACTTTATGAGTTACTCCAGTTTATTATAGCAGTCAACAATGAAAGAAAAAATTTAAGAGTGACATAGAGCCTCCATCACTATTTATCAGTTTGTGCAGACGTAGCAACATTACAGCGCTCCCTTATTAACAATATGATTTCTTTATGATGGTTTTTGCTCAGGAGGATGTGTGTGAATGTTTCTGTGTGTGTGCAAGGTGATTTTGCAACGTCTCAACTAATCTTGGAGCCAGTCGATGTCTGATGTGCAACTTAGACAACTGTGAAATGGAAACGTGAAGCCTCCAGTGTATGCACGTTGATCAATCAATCAATCAGTTGAAGAAACTTTATTCTTATAACACCTGTGTTTAGGTCAGGACTTAGCTACATGTGACTCACAATCCGATAACAAGAGAGTATAAATATAAACCAGGAACATTTGAGACAAATGCACATGAGAAATCATAGAAGTGAAATAATAAAACTTGAAAGAAGAGTGTTTTTAACTGTCTTTGCAGCGACACACAGGAGACGTCTTGTTTCCAGCAGTTAAACCTTTGACATGATACTAATGTCAATAAGGGACAAGAGTCACAGTGTGTGTGTGTGTGTGTGTGTGTGTGTCCTCACACGTCATGGTAGTGTTGGTTTCCTGACAAACAACATGATAAAGAAATCATTAGGGTCTCTTACTGTCAGTTGGGTATATTTTGTTTTTCACCGTTCCACCTGAATGCCTTCATTCCTCCCTCCAGTGGTTTCCACTTGGTTTGCTTACAAACAAATGCAGCAGGCCCGAGCAGGTCCGTCTGCCTGCTGCTGTCGTGTTTGATCAGCTCTTATCTCTGAGCGCCAAGGCTGGCGGCCCGCTCTGTCACTCATTCAGCAGCTGACCTCGGGTCATGGATCGAAAAAGTTTGACTCTCTAATCGCTGGCTTTGTGAACATGGATGGATCCTGTCTCTCGAGTCACTTCGTGTCTTTGAGGAGCTTTTTTCTTTGTAGTCATTTTGCAGCCCAGTCACAAGAAGGAAATGTTGGCATTGTGTGTTTCTGCACAGCATGAATACGTTTCATTTACAAGACAAGAGATTTGACTTTGTCATCCGGAGGTGGAGCTGATGGTGTCACCCAGGGGAGACGACTGTCAGACTGCAGACCACTGTTGAAAACCAACAAACAACCAAACCAGTCATGATACAGTGAGTCATCGCTGTGTTTCCAGCAGCTTTTTAGGCACAAAAAGTGGTTGTTTGTTGCAGACATTTCTCTGTGCCCCCAGACTGAGTAGTTAAATCCACAACATGATCTTTTCCTAAACAGAACAGAAGTGGGTTTTGTGCCTAAAGCTGACGACACACTGAGCAGCGTGTTGTTGAAAAGTATCTGCTACATCACAACGTGAAAATGTCATGTATATGTGGTTTATAGACTGACCTGTGACTGGGCTGCATGTTGTGTTTCTCCGTAGTCATTTTATATCTCTGTGATCATTCGCTTCTCCATGTAGACGTTTTGTTTCTCTTTGTAGTTGTTCTGTGTCTGTTAGTTGAGGTAGTTTGCAGCCTTTGGTTGTTATTTTGTATCTCCAGTAGTCGTCTCTTTTTGGTAGTTTCTTACTCTTTGTAGTCCTTTTGTGTCTTTGTGGATGTTGTGTGTCTTTCTGTACTTGTTTTGTGTGTGTCAGTTGTGGTAGTTTGCAGCCTTTGGTTATTTTGTATCTGGAGTAGTTGTCTCTTTGTGGTATTTGTGTCTCTTTGTATTCGTTTTGTGTCTTTGTGGACATTTTGTGTCGCTTTGTAGTTGTTTTGCACACCTTCTGTAGTTGTTCTGTGTCTTATTGTGGTAGTTTGCATCTCTTGGTTGTGATGATGTGTCTGTGTAGTCGTGTCTTTGTGGTAGTTTGTGTCTCTCTGTAGTTGTTTGCTTTACTGTCCGACACGATATGTCAACAGTCACTCCAAATGGTCCTGTGTCTGGTACACCCATTCAGCGCTCCATCGTTGGGCTTGGCAGCCACTTTGGATTAATGGAACTAATGGATTTGAGTTATATGCACAGTTATCAGCTCTGTGATCTGCAGCAGTTTGTTCACAAATTCTAACTCAGATTCTGAGTTCATGGAGAATGTTGGCAAATTGTCTCATGATCACTAAACTGACCACACAACAGCTAAATAAGCAACACAGCCGGTTTATTGGCAGACAGTCCAGCACACGCTGCATGAGTCACCTTTCCACAGACACTTCCTCTTCTCTGTGTCTTGTTTTATATGCATGATGGCCGAGTCTGCCGACTCAAATATGAAACAGTTGTACCCACTATAAAAGACATTTGTACCTGTTCAGTTCCTCCAAGACATACTCTAGAAAATATAGAAATACAACAAGTTGGAGGAGCTGCTGTCTCAACATGGCAGCAAGGGACTGATCTTTACTTATCGGTGGGGGGGGGGGGGGTTAGCTGGGGTTTGACTTCTGTTTTACCCTCCCTACTGCTACAAATATTTTATTCTACTTGGACCTTCCTGAGTGACTGGTGAAAATGCCTGACCCTCCCTCCACCATAAATGTGTTATTAGATTTTTAAAACTTACCCTTTGATGTTTGATAGTTCAGAGTTAAAAGTTGAAGACGAGACCCTGGAGATCCTGCACGCTGGTTAGTTTGTGGAGATGGTTAATTTCTGGCTAATTTTGAAATGACACATTGAATAGAGTGACTTTGATGTAGTTTTACTATTTCATGTTCAGATTTGCTTTTTTGTGACGGAAGCATTCGTCACACAAAATGTGTCCAAATGTCATCGGAAATTTCAGAACCCAACGATAATTTCCGTTTTTACAGTTTCAGGCTATGATAAATGCAGCCTGCTCTCATTTCAAAGATGAACTCCGCTTTGTCGGTAATTTCGGATACCTGATGCCACCATCTTTCATGGTGTTATGATACCCGCTGGATGGCGTGAGGTTGAAACACTGCCGGTAACGACGTATTGCAAGAAGCTGGAAAGTCCAGATAGGGCGGACAGGTAATGGAAGAAACAGCAGTGTTTTCTTTAAAGATCTGTGTTAAAATGATACAAAGAACAACCATTTAAATTTGTATTCCTCTCCCCAAGCCAAAATAAAAACCATAACTCCCTCTTCAGTGCTTTAAAGAATATTTGACTTGCTTCCCCCTTTGCACCACCCCTCCCCCCTCTTAAGTAACAAACAGTCACACTGAGCTCCTTTTCACGTTTGTGCAGAGTCAGCAGGTTTCAGATCAAATGACACTCTGTCTGACTGCAGCTCGTCAGTCAGTGGATACAGCTGATTAACAGCTGATAGCAGAGCTGCACATTTGTTCACTCCGCTCATCTGAAGTTCACTCGTTCACAAGATTAGAACAAAGAAGGAGCTTTGACTCCTGTTCTGTTTCATCAAGGTGCTTCCAGTGCAGTGAAGGAGATGCACAGTGAGGTCAACTGGCTTCAGCTTTCTTTCCACACCATCAGTCTGTAGCTCTGACAATATGCAGCACTCACCTGATGGACAAACGTGTATTTTGTGCACCCAAGTAGATCTCTTAATTAATTTGTCTTTGCTCAGATGAAAATATTTCCTGTGTGCACCAACTGATCTCAAACTGATCAGTGCTGTCATTCAGATTTTCTTCTGTTGCTTGTTTTAAACAGAAAACCTGTGACTAAAGAGTTAACTGCATCTGAAGTAGGGCTGAACAATATGTCAAAAATGTACCCTTACCGCGTTATCGTCTATCGCATGTTTTCCTGATATCGTGCAGCCCTAATCTCAAGTGCCTGCAATTGTTCTTAATTATGTGTTATTCATGTGCACACAGGGGCATAAATATAGACAGTGCAGGCAGTGTGATTGCACTGGGGCCCCTGGGGTGGAGGGGCCCGTAGAGAGAGCGAGCCCTTGCAAGATAAATGATTAAAAAAAAAAAAAAAAAAAGAATATTATGAATTTAAAAATGGTGCCATTTGCTATATATGTCCTTATTAAAGGAAACCCTTCTGCGTCATGGTTTTATTTAATTTTTTTTAAATAGTCGGTAGCTGTCAAAACAAAATTATATACTTTTAACAAAATATAAGCTATGAGATCTATAGATATACTTTAAAAAACTGTTCGATTAAATGATGAATTTCTTACTGTCTTTGATAGTTTTGTCAGATATGCAGTGATGATTGCTGGGTAATATGTATGTTGATGTTGTCCGATTTGTGTGAAGACAATACATGCACAATAGCGTGCACTAGAGTCAGTCATGGTAGTGTGCACTGCGGCCTGTCATAACTTCCTTACACCAGTGTTTGCACGCCTGTGTGCATATGGCCGTGAGCATGAATATGTCTCTACATTTGCAGTCAAACTCATTCTTGGTGTGTGTGTGTTATATTAGACTTACATAATGCTGCCTGAAGGTACCTTTCATTTCTTTCCGATGCATGTGACTGAGTTTACTTGTTCAGTCAGATGTTTGCTGTTCATGTTAAATCTCTAGTTTTCTCCAGGAGCTCAAAGAGCCTGGTTTTAACACGAGCCAGTTTTTATTTGGTAGTCTGATTACTTGCAAATTTGTACCATTAAAGTAAAACATCTGTCAGGTCCTGCAGCCAGGAACTTTTTGCACCTGGACCACAGAACAGGTTAAACTTGTTCCTCACTAACAAGTTGTTACTTTGAAGCTTTAATTACAGGGTTTATAACTCAGTGATTTATTTGTTGCGGCCCACAATAATATCAGCGTTCACCGCCACATATTGATTTTCTATTTTTGGAGTTGGACCGTTCAGTCAGAGCACTGTTGGAACATTCGACACCATACGCCATACCCTACACTGTAGCCTGACGTGCACCTCCCCAGAAACGTAACTACATGTTGGGGCGACGCAGACCTCCTGTCTGTCTCTGTGAGCTGAAACCATTTCCCTCAGTGGAAACAAAGCTTTGATTTACTTTAATTTCACAGATAAGAAACAATAAATTGTGAAGACAATAAAGCCTCCACTAAAATAGCATTTTAAGTCTTGTGTGTGATTTATCCTGGCTTCATATGAGCAGAGGAAATCTCTGCTAGCTGCTAGGCTAATTTATACAATGTAAAATGCCATAGGCTTGTGCTAATAACGTTAGCATGTTGTATTTGTTTGGAAAACGTGTTTAGTATAAGACAGTTGTTTTGTCAGTGAATCTTGTGAGTTGTAATGGAGCCGAACTTTGTAACGTTACCTTTGTTAAATGTTGCTGTTGTCCCTGGCTTCTTATGAGTAGAGGAAAAGTTCGCTAGATGCTAGGCTAATTTATACAATGTAAAATGCCATAGGCTTGTGCTAATAACGTTAGCATGTTGTATTTGTTTGGAAAACGTGTTTAGTATAAGACAGTTGTTTTGTCAGTGAATCTTGTGAGCTGTAATGGAGCTGAATTTTGTAACGTTACCTTTGTTAAATGTTGCTGTTGCTCCTGGCTTCTTATGAGTAGAGGAAATCTCCACTAGCTACTAAGCTAATTTATACAATGTAAAATGCCATAGGCTTGTGCTAATAACATTAGCATGTTGTCTTGTTGACAAGTGTTTGTGAATGCTGCGAGCTATAGTGAAGCTGATTTGTGTATTTGTGTTTGAAATTGTTGCTGTTAAGCCATGTTTAATGTGTGTTTTGAATCAACTCAACTTCACACTTCAGCACTTCACAGAAACTCTGCCACCAACTAATGTTTTGGAGATGTAACTGCAGAGTGACACAGACACACCACCGCACAAGTAGCCTATAAATGCTCACAACGGTGTAGGCCACGTGCAAAGGCTCTGCATAGAGCTGACACACAAGTACAAATAAATGAGCATGAATGAACCCTAACAGCCCCAAACCCCCAACATGTTCAATCAGCAGTGATGTAAAACCAAAAAGTATCATCCTCTCACATTTAACAGGCTGGAACCAGAGGATGTGGGGCAGTAAAAGTGTCTGTCAGATCATTTTTCTCATCAGCTGCAGTGGTTTGCTCCTGTTTCCACAGGAGCCCACTGAGGCATTCACACGCAGTCTGACAGTGAAGTTTTTGCTGAATCGTGCCTGTGAATCAGACCTGTAAACCCGACAGTGTTCGTGCTGTGCCATGAAGAGGCCCACACTCTTGCTAACGTCTCCCATGTCTCCCTGCTCCTCCAGGTGATCGCGCTGGTGATGGACGTGTTTACAGACGTGGACCTGCTGTGTGATCTCATGGAGGCGTCCAACAAGCGCAGAGTCCCCGTCTACATCCTGCTGGACGAGAAAAACCTCGACTACTTCACAGACATGTGTGCTGCACTCGACATTCAGAATTCACACATGAGTGTAAGTACTGAGTTTTACTTGTGTAACTTCTCATGCAGAGAACTTTTCTAGAGACGAGGACACAGTGTTCACACTGACTGAGTTAAGCCTCAGGTGCAGAGACAGGAAAGATCTGATAAATTTCTGCCTAAACAACTTTATGCAACCCAATGGCCAGAAGAATGTTGGCACTGTACATTCATGTAAACCACAGATAAGTTACATTTGCGTGCTATTATGTGAAAGTTTCCCATACATTAATTTATTTGTGGTGTCCCATCACAGTTAAAACGTCATCATGTTTAGCACCACACTGTCGGGGCTCAGAGCACACCCAGGGCAGAGACAGAGAGGTAGAATAGCATTGGAAGTGGAACTTAACCGTGCTGGGTCAAAAAGTTTGCAATCACTCGCAGCAGCTGCTCCTCTCGGATCTGATCAGCTATGACGGCTCAACAAATCAATTACTTCAATTCAGTTTAGTAGAACTTTATTTATTCCACAGGAAATTCTTGTGCGAGAGAATGCTTCAGTTACAGCAACACAAATTACAGTAATAACAATTAATTTTCACAAACTAGGAGCAACCAGGATAACCAGTGGGTTCCCAGGGTCAGGGTCACACACTGGGCATAGTGTTTAAAACAATAGAGAATTAAGTATCAGAATATTCAAAAAACATACAAGATATAAAGTGTTTAAGGGGCAAAAAGCAAAACACAGTGGCTAATAGAGTAACAACAGGAGTGGGATAAGAACTAGAGTTACTAAAATTACTAAAATGATAATCAACATTATGTTGTATATGATTGTTACCTGCTCAAAGTTCAAAGCCAGCATCTGTGATGGCATGGAGGTGTGTTAGTGCCCATGACTTCACATCTGTGAAGGCTACATGAATGCCAATCTGGAAATCCATCGGTAAAAATAAAATAAAATAAAATAAAAAAATTATTATTTTTTTTCTTCCTTTACCTCTGGAGGCACAGCCCGGAGTTTTTCGACTAACGGAAGTGCAGGGGCCTCGGCGATCGCTCACGCCCTTCACTTCTGGCGGTGCCCCCAGGGAATCGCCGTGTTGTTTACAAATACTTCGGGTAGAAAACCAGCAGAGTTTAGCTATATATATGTATATATCACATTTTTCACGTCACTATATCACCGTGTAGACTAATCTGATGTTTGTTAAGTCTATAAACACAATGACAATAGTAACAAACGTTACTATTTCTGTGTGCACGTTTTGTAATTAACATGGTTATCGTAGATTAGCTGGGCTAACCTTTAGCTGTTAACGTTAGCCGTTAGCGGTGTCTGTAATAACCATAGACTGTATAAAAATAAGGTAATAACTCAATAATCGGTACGTGAAAAAATATTTTTTCCAGCGGATATCTTAGTTACAACATGATCGAGCTAGCAAAGCAGTTTTGTGTTGCTATGTGTGGTATTTATTCAGTTATGGGAAATCACGATGTCTAGAAAGCATCAGTGGCTGCAGCTGTTAAAAGCCTCCTGTTGCCGGATACGACGTGAAACTACTCCAGTTAGCTCAATCATGTTGTAACTAAGACATCCGCTGGAAAAAAAAAAAAATTTCACGTTGACGAGACAGCGTTTTGGGTGGAGCGGTCGCTATGGATGCGGAGCTTGCTGTTTCTGTAGGTACACATTTCCTGGGGACACCGGCACGTCTCGGCCCCGCCCCCTCCATTGTGATTGGCTAAAGCGCAGCATCGTTCAAACTCCTGTAGTCGTCTTTCACACAGGCAGATTGAAAATGGATACTGAGAGGCAGATTCTACAATGTAAATTGCAGACACATTGTGCACGTGTTCCAGCAGCGTGGCTTCGTAGTGACAGAGTGCAGGAACCAGACCAACCTGCCTGTGTATTTATTTTTTAAAAAAAAAACAAGTTTGTGAGCATTAAATATTCTGTCTGTGACTGAAGAAGGGTTTGCAAATCATTGCATTCTGTTTTTATTTATTTTTTACACAGCGTCCCAACTTTTGTAGAACTGCTGTTACATTTTGCACCCTCAGCAGTATATATCTGTCTCTACACTCAACCTCTAGAAGTCACAGTGGACTGTTAGAGAAGAAGAATGAAGAGCGTAACATGTAGCAGGATTTTACAGTAGGACGTGTACAGTATCCTCCTGTCTGTCTGTCTGCTCCTTCATTCATTACATTTCAACCTTTTGGTGTTTTTTAACTATGTGAGGTGTGTCTTAAAAATTTAAGTCACACCTCACATAGTTCATTTTCTTATCCTTGTGACTGAGGGAGACGGACTCTCAGGCTTTAGATGTTGGAGCGTTTTTGAACTCATCAGAAAGGAGAGTTTAATAACACTGTTCTCACAGCATCACCACACAACAGTCGTGTTCTCAACAGGTGACAGTGATGAATCATCCGTCCCATGCAACACTGAGTCTCTGCATGTTGATTTTAATAGTGTGCAGAAATTACCTGAAACCAAATGATGACTGAATGGAAGGAAATAATTCAAAGCACCGGTGTGTCGCACAAAAATCTTTGCTGCAAATGAACTTTTTAACTTAAATCTACCTGAGTGGAGGACACTCTGTTCTGACCTTCACACGCTTCGCTTGCTTCCCACCTCGCTGTCTTTCAGGGTGCTTTCACACCTGCCCTGTTTGGTTCAGTTCAATCAAACTCAAATTGTTTGCCCCCTTAGTGCGGTTCGTTTGGGCAGGTGTGAACACAGCAATCGTACTCGGGTGTGCACCACCAGCTTTGACTTGAAAGTGGTCAGAGCCAGGGCTTTTCTTACACACTGAAAATGAACAAAAATTTGATTTGATCTGGATCGTACAATAAGGCGTGTGTGCTTTGTTCTTTCAGCAGCCCCTTTTATACTGCCTCTTCAAGGTGGGAATTCCACATGGTTTGCCACCTGGCCGCTCTGTATAAAAGGTACAGTCTCAGAATAGGGGGACAGAGTTGTCTCACCTTGAAGCAGGCATCACAGGTTGTAATGGTGTCCGAACAATGTCTGTATGAATGGGACAGCCGGCAGGACAGGACCATGTGTGTAGCATGTGTGTGACATTTTGACAACGTGAGAAAATCACCTGAAAATAAGAGCTGTTGTATTTGGTTACCTTAGAATGAGCTGTTTATACCTGCACAGGGAGCAGGTCACTGTTCATGGAGGTCGCCATGTTCACTGCCATGTTGTGTTTTGTGTCACCGCCACAGTGGCCCAGAATGGACAAACCAAACACTGGCTCCAGACAGGGCCATTTGCGTTTTTGCATCAGGTGCTGTTGGAAGAAGCCGCTCTGTGACAAGCAGAATCAGTTAAACAATAATTTCTTAATGCGAAACAGTTTCATTCTGTGTTTTTACTGGTTTAAATCAGCTGATCTGTTTGTTTTGGAGAGGAGGAGACCTCTGTAGATAATTTAGCTCCTGAACAATGAACACTGAAGGAATTCTAACCAGGAGACGTTTCAGCTGGTTGCAATCTGCAGTCCTCGCTGCTAGATGCCATAGGATCCTCCTAAATCTGACACACTGGACCCTTAAATGTAACTGAAACACTGTGTTTGTTCTGTGAGCTTCTGTGTTTGTGTGTCTAACAATAAAATGTGTGTCTGTCTGCAGAACATGCGAGTCCGCAGCATGTGTGGGGACACGTACTGCACCAAGAGCGGCAAGAAATTCACCGGCCAGGTCCTGGAGAAGTTTATGATCATTGACTGTGAAGAGGTCATCGCCGGGTCATACAGGTTAGCAACACACACAGACACACACATAAACATACATACACACACACACACACACTATCAATCATTAAGCATTTATGTAACCTCTTCACTCGCTTCTTTTGTGCTCGTCTCTTTAAACCCACCACTCCTGTGACATTAACGTGGACTTTAAAGGATTAACTACATAAACAGAGGGCGTGTGTGCAGACATTAATCACTGTCGCCAGTCCAGCAGGAGCGGCTGTGTTGTGAGGCGATTTTGGCGTAGTGACCACACACTGCAGCGTCATGTAACACACACCAGCCTTTTCCTCATACACAATTATTAGGAAAAGAACGGCTGTAAAACAAAGACACAAACAAGGAATACATTTTTCTGATCGTTATTCTGCTCCAAAGCAGAATAACAGAAATGATGATGAAGCTGCTAGCTTTGTGAGAGATGCAGAGAAAAGCACGAGAAGAGGGGAAGAGAAGGTGGAGGTTGGATTGTGGCACTTCTCTGAAAGTTATTAAGAACTTACTCTGGACTCTGCTTTGTCACTTTATGACCCACCTGTCTGAAACCTGCAGTATCTTTTTAACAAGCTTACCTGAAGTGCCCGAATGCATCACTAGCTCGTACAGATCAGGGTCATTATTTCGCTCCTTTGCTTCCCTGTTCAGCTCAAACAAACTATTTGCTTCTCTTGTAGGTGATGTTGCACTCGATCTTTGACTGGTCCATTCTTGTGTTTTGTCTCTGTTGAGGAAGCATGTCCTAAAATACGGATGCTACTAGACTCACAAGTCAGTCTTAAGACGCTTTGCTTAACTAAAGACTGATGACTTTCTCCCTGATTTTGTGTTTAGATGGGCGGATACAATTTCAGAGTTTAAAAAAAACTCCCTACGTTGCAGAACCAATAGTAAATCCGCAGGGCGGTCCTTCGGCGGCTCGCTGAACTTTTGTGCTCGTAAACATAATCCGACTGCGTTAAAAGTTTTAAACAAAGTCGCTGTAAGTCCTTCATTTCCACAATCTTGTGGACTGAGCACACGTTTGATAAAACGGAGTTAAATCTCTCGGCATCCATTTTCAAGCTCTCTGTGTGTTTGTTTCCTTGCGGACGAGAAAAGGGGGAGCGCACATTTCCGGGAGGGCGTGTCCTTTTCAAAAATGCAAGAGGCGTTGCTTTGTTGCCGGCCGTTTTCTCCAGTGTGTTAAACACACTTTAGAAAGGAGTGTCCCCAGACTATCAGAAGGCGGAGATCTCTGATTGTCTGGTGGCGAGACTAGGATGCTATTACCAAGAATGCAACGTGCCATTATGCTGTTGCCTGTTCTCTGTTGAGTTGCGTTCTGGGAAATGTAGGTTCCAGTGTTTTTGGAGTTTGACTCACACTAGAGATTAGAGGTCAGAGGCCGGTTACCTAAAGCACTGCTCTGGCATTTGAGCGTGCCTGCCGCATGTCTGCATTGAAAACAATGAATTTGAGGGCGCAAAAAACACAGCACGTGTACTGCCCCTAATTTTCCTCCTTAAGTATGACACTTAAGGTTTAGTTTTTACCTTAGCTGAGGATGTTACTTTGAGGTGTTGCACAGAATCACTTAAAAGGTACCTTAGTTAAGAAAAGCTGTTAAGGCATTGGCTGCACTGAAAGAGATTTTACAATAGTGAAGTTTGACTGTTTCCATGGAGACCATTTCTTTGCTTGAGCGTGTGCTTGTGATAGCCCAGCCTACCTGTTGTCCTCTCACAAAGTTCACCTGCTGGTAAAAAAAATGGCAGAAGATAAGAGGACGCGAAAAAAATTGGTGGGAGGAAGAAAAAAAATCAGACTTCTAGAGGATCCAACTAAAGAAAGAACAAACTGAAAAGTAAATTTGATCCGAAGATAAGAGCAAACATGAAGCAATGAACGTGGGAGGAAAATGCAGTGTTTGGATTGAAATTTCACGGCAGTGTTTGCAGACGGGTGAGGGCGTTTGAAACCAGGTAAATGACGCTGCCCACCCTCGACTTGTTCATGAAATGCCTCCCCAATAACTGATTGGAAAGATCGCGGTGCATAAAACCACAGAGCAGTCACTTAGTGTGCCAAGGCTGGAAGAGCTCAGCTTCAGAAAGTTGAGTGATCCAACTTCAGACGTTGAGTCAAATCATAAACTGACTTCCAGCAAAACCAATCGATCCTCCCAGTCGTGGAACACTCAACAGTTTAACAAACTTTTACTTAGAGTTAGAGTTTAAAATATATCCTTAAAGTTTTGTGCAACTGAATTTATTTAAAGGAAACCTTAAAATCTTAGCTTGAGGTGCTTTGTGTGACCGGCCCCAGGACGTCCCGGCCTCTGCTGCATCAGTTTTGACCATCTTTGTTTTCCTCCGTCTCCTTCATGTCCTGCAACTTGCAGGAAGTGTGATAGTAAATTGATTTGAAACACACATGGCGGTGGGGAGGTGATGTCGATCAGTGTAATTGTGAGGATGTCTATAATTTGCATAATGCCGCAGTAATTTAAGAAGAAGAAAAAAAGGATCACAGATTGCTGATCTGTATCTATAAGAAGACGTGTAGGTGGACTCGTCAGACGGAGACACTCAGACAGTCGATACAGCACATATGAACAAAGATGAAGGTGTTTAACGACAGCAGAGTCTGTGAACTGCTCATGATCAGCATTCTGACATTTACTTTGCATGTTTCCTGATAAGCAGGACTGTCAGCAGGTAACAGAAGGAGGTCAGCTGAGCTCAGAGGCCATCATGAGTTTTTTTTGTGTGTGTGTGTGTGTGTGTGTGTGTGTGTAAACTGTGTAACAATGCCCGTGTTGTGCGGCAAAGTGGCCGCGCTGCCGACAGCGAGGAGCTGTTGATGGTATTTGAAACTGTTATGAGAATACCTGAGTAATGACTGTAATTACAGCTACACGCTCAACAAGTTAATGAGACGGAGGGCCTGAACAGCAGGAGACTGCAGAGGAATGTTTACTGAGCGCACATTTAATCACACAGGAAAAGACAGGACTTTCAGCTTTAAGATTTAATGTCACTCTCATTCATTTTTTCTACGTGTCTGTCGCTCGTACTCGGCCTTTTGTGTCGCTCAGGTTTCTTTAACTCTTCACAGTGTGTGTAGGATTTCAGTTCAGCTGGAAAATTATTAGATGCCCAGTCTAAAGCTGCAACTGATGATTATTTTTATTATCAAATAATGCTGCTGGTTATTTTTTGATAAATATCTTTGTCAATAAAATTTTAGAAAACAGTAAAAGATGCCTGTTAAAATTCCCCTCAGCCCAAAGAGATGTGTTCATATATAATATATATATAATTCCCTCTCTAATATCTGTTTTATATTGCTGTGAAAACATCTCCCTCAAACAGCTGGATTTATTCATTCGTTCATAAGTTTTTCACCAAAAACTACATTTTACAAGATTACATGTGAACACATCATTAGAACGTTATAATTTACCTTCGCCCAATACTTATCTCTACTGAGTAGAGCTTGAACGCATCATAACATAACTCAGTATAACCTCTGTGAGCTGTTAGTTGCGGCCACCTGCTGCTAACAGCTAACAGCTAACGTTAATCAGCTCTCCTCCTGCTGATGTCAACACAGATTTGTTGTTCACAGTGGAGCATTATCAGGGAAACTAACAGGTGCGTCCTCTGACGTGATGATAGTGACTTTATTGCGTCCTGTCATCCCGAAGATGTCCTGGAAAAGAAAATGTGTTTGTCTCAAACATGTTTTTATTGTTCCCAGGACGACAGGATGATGTTAGTCTGGAGCTCTGCTTTTAAGCCTGCGCAAAATCAAAGTGACATAACAGGAAAACATCAGGCACTGCTGTTGATGAATGTCATCCTATCAGTTGATTGGCTGATGGCTGCCAATCAGGCGAATATTTACTGATACTGAAATCGTTGAATCTCTATGATCAACTTTTCCATTAACTGATCGTTTGATGTGACTTTTTCATCTCAGATCATTTTGTTTTATCATTGCTTTTTACTCCGACAGGGAGAAGTGTGTGTGTGGCTGTGTGTGTGTGTTTGGACAAACAGAGCTGTGAAACTGCTGATTTTAACAACTTTAATGTCGTGATTCTACCTGCTGCCTCAGTTAACACACCTGAGGTTGTTCTGTCATTAATGGGACACTGTTAGTTTTGTTTAACTTCATAAATTACATTTACTATGTGACATTTGAAGATCGACTCTTTTGTTAAGTGTGAACTTCTGGAGCTTCTTGTGGAGATTTGTGGAGCCCATCTGTGCTGTCTGGCTGCAGCGAACTGGTAACTGTGTCTGACCAACAAACAATGAGCAAGATGTCACTATGATTTTATACAGTTAGGAGAGCGCACGTTTAAGCTGCTTGAGACTGACATGGGCCCTTTATGAGCCGATGTCATAATGACGTCATGCTATCACCTGGAGGTGCAGCTGCCTCTCCCCCACAGGGCTGTAGGCTCCATAGGAGTGTTAAAATGTGTTTGTCTTGTTGTGTTATTGGGAGCCAGAATAGAAGGAGTCATGGCTCAAAACCAGCCGCCACTGCCCGTCAACAAAAACAAAGACAACTATGGTTAAATGTGATAAGACCAAAGGACTGGACGGAGGCCATCATCAAAAATGCTCACATGTGCAGCGCACACTTGGAACGCTAACTTTTTAGCACATTAACTAATGTTAGCTTCCATAGCAAAACAAACAAGTGTGGTCCTCCTTTGTAAGATTGGCTTCCTGTGACATCATCCATCCACTGAGTGAGAGCATACGGGTCGGCCAGTCTGGTCCCGTTGGTCAGTGTTTACTTATTCAAGTAACACTGGCGGTCCCGGAGAGTGAGTGACCTGACATGGTGCGTTGGTAAATTCAGTCTGACGCTCTACACTAAAATGAGAGCCCTGTTGGTGGAAGAAACGCAGCGTTATATTTCTACATGAATGAACCAACGGTTAAGTTAATCACACATTCACTCCGCTCGGCGCTCTGCTGCTCCGTCTCCACAGACAGAGT